TTTTTTTTTGGAGAGGTTTTTGTTATAGGGCGTGTGTGCTCGCCAGACAGAGACAGAGAGACAGAAAATGAGAAATCATCCCCCAGGGGGGATGGCCACGCCACAGTCCCTTCTCCTCCATTCTCCTCCCTGGATCTTGGGCACGCAAGCACATGTGCCCAGCGTGAGTTTTAAGCCACCGGGTCCGGGACATGAACCGTGGTCGACTACATGGGAGTCCGGCGATATAGCCATTATGCTAACTGCTGGTCCCTCTATCTCTCTCTTTCTGGCGAGCTCACGCACCCTATAGCAAAAACCTCTCAAAAAGAAAGAAAGAAAAAAAATATGCATACCTAAATTGTTCCAAATAAGCTTGAGTTCTCAGCGATAGGGTTTGGTCTGTTTCCAAACAGGCTTATTAGAGTCGAGGACGACTGCGACACCTGTCCCACCTGCCTGCCACACCACGTGGGGGGCGGCTGCACTCAGGGCCCGCGAGCAGGCCAGGCCCTTGCCTGGGCACCGAGCATGGGCTGAGCGTGCCAAGTCGGGGGTGCTGTGCCCTCGCGGCCCTAACATGGGGTGGCCGAGTGTCCAGTCAGCCCCCTCACTGAGCTGCCACCGGCCAGTGCTCAGAAGTTGGGGTGCATCTCCCCGAGTCATGTGTGAGTCACCATCGTGGGGAGCCTGAGGGTGGAATCTGGGGCCGGATGAAGTGGGGAGAGGTGGCCACCAGGTGTCTAGGGCAGGTGGTGACGGAGTCCCCTGGCTGGTGAGCAGAGGGAACGGAGGCCACGTGGTGCAGATGTGCCCAGCTCCAGCCAAGGCTCTGCCCCTCTGGTGACAAGCTGGACCTTCTGGCCACTAGCGCCCCGAGTGAGACCTCCGTGAGTCACCGAGGCTGAGAGATCCTGTCAGTCATGACAGCCGGCAGAGCCCCCCAACTGGCCACAGTGACCTCAGGGCTCTGGCACCGAGGACGGCTGACAGCGTGGGTGCACCCCGAGCCAGCTCAGGTCTGCCTTTATTGGTCACAAGCCCCAAGTTTCCAATGTGTTCGGGTGTGGCTGGAGCTCGCTGGCCACCACCGGCTCTCATGGGAAACCACGCTCCAGTGGCGACAGCCCTGCAGGACCGAGGACTCCCACCCTGGAGTGTCCCTGACCCCTCGTAGTGCGGCCAGGGTCTCGTCTGAGCTTCTGCACGTGAACACAGGACCCATTACACGCCCCTTTTTTGTCGGCTGCACCCAAAGGCGCTCAGGAGCTGGTTATCTTTAACAGCTGTGCACAGGTGGCTGTGTCACTGTTCAGCCACCGGGACAGCAGGGGTAGGGACCCACGGGCCGGGGCGTCCTGGGAGGACCCTCTCCTGCCTCTTCGGGGCTGCCTCCCTCCTCCTCACACCAGCTCATGGCTGAAGATCCAGGCATACGGTGCGTGCTCAGCACTGTTCTGAGGGGCTCCTCGTGAGCTTGGACACCCTGCCCTGACTGTCCCCACCCAGAGGGTGGCTCCCAGGGCAGGCCTGAGGACCAGAGCCATGTGCATGTGTGAGCCCACACGAGTTAATCTGCAGCAGTGTTGGCCTCACCGGCCCCCCCGCCCCAATCGCCCAGGCAGATGGCCACACCACAATCCCTTCTCCTCCATTCTCTCTCGGGATTTTGGGCATGCACACACACACATGCGCCTGGAGTGAGTCTTCACCCAGGCCAGAAGCAGAGTTGCACACGTACCCCTCCCTGTGGCCTCCCTGTGGCCCCGGCCCTGGCAGCCTCACCTGGACCTTCTGCTGGTGGCGGTAGATGTACCAGGCGATCTGGACGTGCACGGCGCTCCACTTCCCCGGCTTCTGCGGCAGGACGGGGCAGGCTCAGGGGCAGCGCGCCCCCTCCCACCCTCCTGGTCCCACACCCCTGAGGCCATCCAGGCCTCCTTCCCAAGGACACGCACGTGTGCGCTCACCCTGACGGCCGTCCGGTACGGGTCAGACACCTGCGGGTGATGGAGGGGAAGTGTCACGTCCAGCCCCCGTGGGGGCTGCTCAGTCTGAGGTGGACAGAGCGTCCTGCTGCTGTAGCCTCAGGGCTGGGGACACCTACCCCGGGAGCTTTCTGCAGGAGAGAGTGGACAGTACTGGACCGGCCAGCTACCTCGACTGGGTTTGAAGTCTGTAGAGTGAGGAGGAGAGACAGAGAGGTCTGAGTGACGTCCAGACCAGGGCAGACCTCCAGGTCTTCCCGGTTCTGGTCCTGCCCACAGACCCTGCGCGCCATCCCCAGGGGTGGCCCAGCCTCCCTCACGGGACCATGAGGCCCTCAGCCCAAGGTTTTCTGAGAGGGCAGGAGAGGGGCCCTGGGCGGTGGCTGGGAGGGCGGCTAAGACGGCCCCACTCGGGAAGGGAGTGGAGGAGCCAGTCTGGGCCCGTGGGTGAGAACTGGGGGGGCCTCTGCTCCAGGGAGGGGGGGGACTGGCTGCTGGTCCCTCCTGCTCCCTCTAGGGCCAAGCAGCAGGCACCGGCCACCGGTGACGTGCCACGGGGCCACGCTTCGCAGGCTTGTCCCTCTGAGCCTCAGACTGGCCCAGAGCAGCCTCAGTGCTGCAGGGACAGCCGTGCTCCGTCCCTGACTTGGCTCAGGGCTCGGGTCTGGGGACACCTGCTCTGCACACACAGGCATGCGTCCCTTCTCATAGCAGGGCTCAGAGGTGGCCCAGACCCTGCAGTCGGGGTCGGCGGGGAATGGACGGCTTGGAGCCTGATGCCCGGAGGCCGCAGTGTCTGCTCACAGGCTCCTGCAGTGTAGACGGCCAGGACTGATGCATTCAGAGTCCCTGGCCAAAGGCTGAGGTGCACCGTGGGGTGCAGCACCTCCCATGCTCCTCTGCCGCCACCTTCCTGGGACGCCTCTGGTCTGGAGCCCCCAAAGGCCCTCTAGCAGTCGCTCCCACCAGGGCCCAGGGCCCCACTCCAACAGCCCGTGCCGCGCCCCACACGCCCCACTGCTGTGCCACCCACCTGCCCGAACAGCAGTACCTTGGGCTGGAAAGCACCCTGCAGGGACCCAAAGGGGCCGGGGTGAGGGAGCAGAGAGGGGAGTCCCGGGATGGCTGGAGGAAAGGCCGGGAAGAACTGCAAGAGAAGGAGCAGGTTCTGGGCTGCGCGCACAGGGCAGCCCGCGGCCGCGCAGCTCCCAGATGAAGGCCGCATCCGGGGACGCACTCACGTTGGAATGTTGGAAGTAAGGGCTGTCCAGCTTGGGCGCATACTTGTCAAACTAGGAGGGAAGAGGGCAGAGGGCAGAGTGAGGCCCCACATGGCCGATGCCCTCCACTGAGCCAGTGCCCACCCAGGCCGAGCCAGGCTGGTGGCCCTAGGCTGGCACCTGTGTCCAGCCAGCCCCAGGCTCCTGAGCGTGCCATCCCAGGGCCGATGTCTGCAGACCTGGGTGACTCCTCCCCACCCCAACGGCCCCCATGAGAGGTGGACAGGCCCATGCGTGGATGGGGCCCCCAAGGTGGCTCAGCAGTGGCTAGCAGGTACGTGAAGCCCTGGCCACTGGCCAAGCTATAGGACGCGTCCTGGCTGCTGACGAGGTGGGCGGGAGCTAAGGGAGCCTGGCCTCACATGGCAGCAGCTCCCAGGACACAGGAGGAGTGGCCCAGTCCCCGTGGCCTCTGTCCTGCTGTGAGCAGACACGCTGGGTCCAGGCCAGTGTGCCTGGCCCTGAGGGCAGGCCATGTCTATGGACGTGAGGCCCCTCTCTAAGCCCAGACAGCAGCCTGGATGGGACCTCCCAGTGTGAGCAGCGGGCACCCAGGAAACGGCCCAGCCCAGCACAGGCACGGGGCGGTGGAGCCCACGCCTCCTCACGGCCAGCCTGCGTGAGTGTGTCTGCGTGTGCCCGCCCCCCGGCAGCACGCAGGCCTACGCACCGGTGGGGGTGCGGCAGCGGGCGTGAGCAGCGTCGGGGGCAGCCCTGCGGGGAAGGGGGCGAGTGTGTGTCGGTGCTGGTGTGTGTGCTGGTGTGTGTGCTGGTGGAACTCCGCCTGCAGCAGGGCCCCCGGGCCCAGGGAGGCGCCAGGCCGCTCGGCGCTCTGCACCAGAAACCGCGTGTTCAGCTCCTGCCTGAGCAGCTCGCGATCTAGGAGAGAAAAGAGACAGAGACAGAGGCACGTCGGCCGCGGGCTCCCGGCGGGGCGAGGCGGGTAGTCACCTGGCACTCCCGGTTGTGGCAGGCCAAGGCGTGGGGGCCGCTGGCCAGGTGCGGGCCCAGGGGTGGAGGTAAGAGAGGAGCCTGTGACCAAGTACCAATCAGAATCCCCGAGCGAGGCTGGCAGTACACGACTGGCGGGCGGGGGGGGGAACGACGGCTGGGC